TTAAAGCCCATTTATTGCTTACAAACTGCATTCCAGAGCCAGCTCTCTCCTCTGCTCCAGAAGAAGCAAGCCGGCCAGGCAGCCAGCTCCTCCCTTTAAATTCTCAGGTTCAGACACACCCTTGGTTGCCCAGGTTATTACCCACTGACATGGAGATGAACTTCTCCCCACCCCTGAGGATATGCAAATGCACTAAAGCCAGGGGAGATACTCTGGAAATGTTAGTTTTACCCACAATGACCTATGCTTCTGAGGCCTTCTCCCTTACTAGGCTGCTTATTTTGAGAGCAAGTGTTGTGCCTGGTTCATCTTGACTTTGGCCTAACACCTTCACCTTGTGCCTAGCACAGGACCAAGATTTAATAGGCAACAAGTGTTGACTGAATTGCACTGAATTCTTAAAAATGGTGAATTTTAGAAGTGATGTTTTGGGTCATTGAGACCCTCCCCCAAAATCATATATATAAACTAATTACCATTTAGAAAAATTTGACAATTTCTTATCTCTGAGACAGAGACTGTGGGTGTAGTCAGAGTAGGGTGAGGGCCTCTGGAAAAAACAAGGCAGGATATTTACCAATGTAACAATGTAAAGTCCCTATCCAAACTCTATGTTCAACATTATGCAAAGTCAAGGTCACACTAAGTCTCTAGGGTAAAGATACCAGAGACTAGGAATATAGACATCTTCAGTGAGATCAGTTAAAGGTTAATAGTCCAGAAGCAACTTGGCCTGGAATGTTTGAGTGTTCTGCAAGGATATCTCAGCATAAACTGTGACTTCACTGTAAACAGTCCTAGCAAACAGACATCAATCCAGCCCACCTTGAGAGCAGGGCAGTGGTACAAGTCCACACCCTAAACCCTCAATTCCCAAAAATCCTCAACTGCCTACAAATCCCCTAGACAACACACTACCCCCGGCTCTCTTGTCCCCTCCTAGCGTGAGCCAGGAGCTCTTTCCTCTCACTTTATTTCTAAATAAAAGCCTGTACCTTGCTCTCCTACCTTGAGTGTTTGTGAAGCTCATTCTTTGGCTTCGTGAACAGGAACCCCGGCATCATCTCCATTCCTTTCCTAAAGTGACTGTTAATAAATCCATCAAAATTTCTAAACTAGAATGGATTTGCAATGTCATCCTTGGTGAAATCTACTTAAAGATGCTTTTGGAAATGGATTCTGGGTTTGTCTGCTATTTCCTAAAATTCTCATACTTTTCTCATCTATTTACTTAGGAGACTCAAGTGAGGGAATTGGGAAGAGGCACAAAATTCAGGTTTATTTAAGTTTCACTAGATGCTGATTTGCTCCAGTCGAAAGCAAGTCCCCTCGAATTTGGCTCCTCTTCCACAAGGACAGTGAAGACTTCCTGGATCACTTTACAGATTATTAATTATAAGCATGTGATATCTGGGAGATGGAATTATCTGGGTGATTTTAATTTTTCTGTGCTTTCCTGTATTTAGCAAATTTTCTATATTAAGTATGCATTTTGTCTATAATCTGGGGGGTGGAAACCCAACCAACTCACTGTTCTGCACATGTCTTTTATTCACAGAGTGAACTTCAGCTCTATGTTTAAAAAGTAAACTGAGGTGGGTGGTGGGCCTCCTCTTCTTCCACTAAACTCAACTCAGGAGGTGGAGAGAAAATAGACCTGAACATAAATATGACCAATATACCCATCAAAAACCGCATCAGCTCCTGGGACTTTGCTTCAGCAATATATTCAGCCTCCTCTGTTCGAGGCAGTTGCTGGTGGTCCAAAGTTTGGTGGAAGTGAGGGAGGATGTTGAAAGGGAATAGTTCATCTAGAGGCCTTCTTGCAACTTTAACTTGGACATCTTATCCTGAGACCTTCAAAAGATTTTCAAAGGTATAACTGAGGGCTGAAAAAAGTCCTCTGGCACTTTTCAAGAACCCCAGGTTCCACATCTAGACTAATCTAGACTACTTCACCAAGCACATTCTAGTTTGTAAGGGGTGATGAATCATTATTTCATACTGCCATAGGTGGAGGGCCTTGGACACTGCGAGCCCTCTTTTCCCTTCCTCTTCCAGTGACCTTCTCTCTGTGTGTGGGAAAATGTAGTTTGTGAAACCAGGGAAATTGATTCACATAGAAGTAACTGTAAGGCTCCAGAAGGCTAGACAAACATGGGACTAGTAATTTCAGTCTTCCAGTGATTATAGTTACTGGGTTTAGGAAGAAACTCCTCCCTTCTGCTGCTCTCATTAATGTCCTCACTATTTTTGCAAGACTTAAGAATCTCTTAAAATGGAATTTCTTTCCTTTAGGAATAGAGTAAACATTTACTCTAAAGTCCATAACATGACCTGTTTTCCTGAATGACTTTTAGTCTTTAACAATCTCAGCTTTTGGGGTTAGAGGGGGGTGCTGGGAATTTACCCAGGTAGTTCAGTATAGGAGGTAAGTATTACTACCTACATAATTAGGAATTGACTAACTGCACTCAGTCTCAAAGCCCTCTTCCCTGTCTTTCACTCCCACCTACAAACGAGAATCACAGGATTTGGGAATTGCAAGAAATCTTTACAGCAAGAAATCTTTACAGATTCTGCATCACACATCTCTTCATTGTCAAGAGGAAGAAGCTGAGGCTTACAGTCCTTATTGCGGTCACTAGCACACAGTGGGTATTTATTTTTTTGCTTTGTTTGTATGTTTGTTTCTGGCCTAGGCTGTTTAAAATGACCAGTCCATATGAGAATACAAGGTTTCCAATTTAAAAAGCTGTTTTCTTTCCACTCTCTCACACTGAGTTCTATCAGCTTCCTTTGGACTTACAATGAAGTCTTTACAGCCATAAATTTTCTTTCTTTTTTAACAGCTTTATTGAGATATAATTCACATACCATACAGTTCATCTACTTAGAAGTGTACAATTCAATGGCTTTTAGTATTTTCAGAATCCTGTATCTATCACCACAATCAATTTTAGAACATTTCATTACCTCCAAAAGAAACCCCATACCCACCAGCAGTCACTCTTATTTTCCCTCATTCTCCCAGCCAGTCCTAGGCAAACAGTGATCTTTCATATGTGATCCTTTGACTGGTTTCTTTTATGTAGCATAGTATTTTCAGGGTTCATCCATGTTGTGCCATGTATTTCATTCTGAATGTACTCATCGCTGAACAATAAATATTTCATTATATACATATATGATATTTTATTTATCTATTTCGTCCATCTATTGATGGATATTTGGTTGAATTTATTTTAAACAACTAAATGTGATCTCTGATAGCTAGAAGAACCTTAATATAAAGACATAAATATTTCATATCTTCCTATTTTGAATTTATACCTAAAGAATTTATAGCTAAAGAACTTACATGGAAAACTTTATTATATCATACTTGAAAATCAACAGTTTCTCTTATTTTTCTGATGTATACGATAATGTTATGAAAAGACAAAGCCTTGCCTTAAGTTTTCCAGCTCCCAGGAAAATAGAGGCATATATATGTATATATGGATGGCTTAAGTGACAGCCCTCAGGAAGTGAAAAAAGAAGAGAAAGATCCAGAGCAAGACTCTTTTTTTTCTTGATTTTCAAGTGTTTAGAAAAGAAAGGGCATTTGGGCTCACACTCAACCAGGTGATTGGCATTCCTAACACCCGAACATATACACAAATAATTTAAGGTTAGATGAGGGTGAGAAAGAAAAAGGGACAGCACAGGCCACAGATTTATTCTTGTCTGATTTTGTCAGACTTAGTATTTTCATTATTGCCCCTCTGGGTTTATAACTTAGCCCTCGCCCAACCTCCATACTGTTTTTGAAGATCTCCAAGTGGGTTCAGATTGGGAGACTTTGTGTGGCTAGTTCTGCTTGGTAGGGGTTGAGGGTATTTATGATCCTGAGAGGTAGAAGATTCCCATGCTAAACCCTTGTTTATACAAGTCCTGCTTTCCCTCCCCCAGTTCTTAGAAAATTAGGACCACAAAACTCCTGAGTCAACTACCGAGGAGAGAAGGGGCTTTTGGGAGTGTCTTCCGCCCCATTTAGAAAGGCTAGATGAGTGAACTGAGAAGGGGTTCTCAACTCAGGCCGCCTGAGGCTTGGGTGTTGTGTCATTCCCCACACGTGATGCTCTCACAGGCTGCAGAGATCTCGTACGTCATGGACTTATTCATTCCAATGACTCCACCCCTTTCCCCTCTACTCCCCAACCCCACCCCTCTTGCCCACTCCGCTCTCTTTTAAGACTAGAGGAAAGGAGGGTGACTGAAGCCAGGAAATGACACTATCTTAAATTGGCCGGGAGAAGCAGAGAAACTCGTGTTTGGAATACTGCAAGATATGGCGTTACAGTTTTACATTCCTCCAGAATGCTTTGCACTTCCTCTGTTTTAGGCTATCTTTATTATTATTATCCCCAAATAGTTCTACTTTATGCGAGACCACCTCATCACTTGGGCAGGCTTTGTCCTAGTTTAGGTTGCTTTCCTCTCCCTGTTTCCCACTTCTCTCTGAGCCCGGAATTCTCTATCAACACTGGTTTGAGTCCGGGATCAGCTTCCTTCGTCTTCTAGCTGCGTGACCTTGAGTGAACCACAACTTTTCTGGGCCTACTTTCATCGCCTGTGAAACGGGGGCCAAACGTCTCCCGCACCGCGCCTGCTCTGAGGAACAAATGACAAATCCCTCTGTGAGCTGTAAAAAGCAATCGAAAAGTTAGCTATGTTAATTCTGGGCGACCACTCTTCCAGAACCCTTCCCTTTCCTTTGGGAGCAGCCCGGCAAATCCCGCCTGGAAATGACAGTTCTCGCCACCCTTCTCTCGCAGCCTTCCCCATTGGCGAACGCACATACCGCGCGGCGCAGATAGTTGACGCCACCCGCGCCCCCTCCGCCGGCGCACGGTGACGCACGGGCCCCGCCCCCGGCCGCGCCTGGCCTCCCGCGGGGCTCCGCCCGTCGGGCCGACGCGGCGCGGATCCCGCCCCGCGGGTGACGTGTGGCGCGCGCGGCTCAGCCGCCCCGGCAGTTGGTGCAGCGGCTGTTGGGTTGAGTGCGCTCACCCCACCCCTCCCCTCCTCCGACCGGGGCCCCTAACCCCGCCGGGCCCAGCCCGAGCCCCAGCCCCGGCCTCAACCCCAGTTGGGCCCGTCCCGTGCGGGCTCGTGCCTCCCCTTAAGCCGGCAACGCCCCGGGCCGCCCTCCCGCCCGCCACCATGGAGCTGGAGGACGGGGTGGTGTACCAGGAGGAGCCCGGCGGCTCCGGGGCCGTGATGTCGGAGCGGGTGTCCGGCCTGGCCGGCTCCATCTACCGCGAGTTTGAGCGGCTCATTGGGCGCTACGACGAGGAGGTGGTCAAAGAGCTCATGCCACTGGTGGTGGCCGTGCTGGAGAACCTGGACTCGGTGTTTGCGCAGGACCAGGAGCACCAGGTGGAGCTGGAGCTGCTGCGGGACGACAACGAGCAGCTCATCACCCAGTACGAGCGGGAGAAGGCGCTGCGCAAGCACGCCGAGGAGGTGAGGGCCGGCGGGGAGGGCGGGGACCCGGGGTCGCGGGCCCGGCCCAGGAGCGGAGGCGCGCGGGGCCTCCTGGGGGCGTGCCTGAGGCCGAGGGGTCCCCGGGACCCTGGCGGCGGTGGAAGCCGAGGCGGCCAGTGAGTGTCCAGGAGAAGGGCACGAGATGGGGGAGGCAAGGCCCGGGGAGGAAGGCGCAGTCTGGCTGGAGGGCACCTGAGATTGGCTGAGGGCGAAGATTTTAGAGTGTCTAGTTGCCTCTCATAGTTTAGGGAAGTTTTTGACCACCGTAGGGTAGTCTGATGGCGGTTCAAACTTTTACCGTGGTTGGGGGGCGGCGCGCATTTAAACACTTATGTCCTGGATATGTAACTTCCGCTGGTTCCAGTGTCTTTCCTGGGGGTTGCTGCTTTGGCAAGTTAGAGATCTCCCTCTTTCGGTCAGTTTCTCCTTGACGTTTTAACCCTGTTGAGAAAGAGGTTTTATTTATAATTTTTCTTTATGGTGTATGTGCCTTGGTCGGTATTTTGTCGACACCTTGATGTTATATAGCAATACAACGTAAATACTTATTTTACTAGTATCTCACACGAAAGCATTCCTCCATATCAGGTGGTAACCTTGGACAGTTCCCTTTTAAAAACCCTCTGTTTATAAAGAAGACTGGGGTGGAGCAGGGGGCGGGGGCGTTGCGGAGGTGTAGGTGGCTGTTGGCAACCCTTTTCAGACTGCAGTTTACAGGTGCACTTGGCGGGCTGTTGACTCTAGTAGCTCAGCAGTGACCTCGATGCCCTCACCTCGTCTGTGAACCTTTTAAATCTCTGGAATACAAGTGATAGGTCTTTGCTCTCTTGGGGCAGTCAAGGATTTTAGCTTTCATGCTGTGTTGCCGTTATGAAGTGCCCTAGTCATCCTTGTTTCCTGAGGGTCTAGCACATCTGGCTAAATACATGGTGATTGAAGGAAGCTAAATAAATATCGAAGGAAGGCTACGTTATCTTTCAAAAATACTTGAAAAGTGTTTAGGATGTGAGATTTGTTTAGCAGCTCACTTATACCGCTGCTGTTTAAACTTTTTGTTTGTCACATGTATCTTTGTACCAGGTCAAGTAGTTTTTTTTTTTAAGCTTGACTGTAGTGATGGTGTTTGGTTCTGCTTTGTGATCCATTTATCTTAGAGGAATGCCATTGAATTTGTTAAGCAAAATTTACTTTATTTCAAGAATATTTCCAAGTATATAAGGAAGGAGGAGTTGAAAAGATTCTAAGGATAGGATACCATTTCCATAAGTTTATTAGCACTGTTTATAGAAGAGAAATCATGTACTACTTCTGAGATGGCATGCCATGTCCTCATGCTCAGACAGGCCTTTGCCACCTGGGAAATTAACCGCAGGATAGGCCCAGCACACCCTATCACCTTGTATAAAAGAAATGCTCCTTCCAGCTTTAAATGCCTGTCAGTCCATGTAAACATGGGAAAAATGCTAGAGTCACACGTGCCAGAGAAACATCTGCCACAGGTTGCAGAATTTGAAAAAAAAACTAATTGTTAGGCTCTGGATTGTCTATTAACTTCTTGGGTAAATGACTTTTTAAAAATCGGTTATCCAGTGACTTTCTTTGTAATTTACACTTTTTCAAACGTGTCTATAAGTTTTCTATAATGACACCTTTGTCCAAAGGGCCATGACTTGAGAAGAGAGAACACTGATGAAATGCTGGATGAGCCAACTCCCAGACCACAAACATAAAACCACCTTGTTATCAGTCTTCACGTAGGATCATAAATCAGGTTTTACCCAGTAACCGGAAATTCAGTCTTTCTTAGGCCAAAGTAAATGTGTTTTAATTTTCTGTGTTTTATGCAGAAGTGAATTCTATGTTTAATTTTCTGGGAGTGCTTTGTTTGTGGCCTTTAATATGGAGACTAAGAGTCTATTATAGCAAAAGTGCCTCAGGACATTTACATCAAAAGTATTTGAAAGCATGGAAATGGTTCATCACCAGAAAGTGTAACATAAATTCTGAGTACCCTTGTGGAAATGTAGGAGGGTATGTAGATGCTGAGGATGTTTTAGGAGGTATGAAGTGCTATAATCCCTTGCCTGTAGGAATTCCCAGCAAGGAATCAGAAATTTCATCTTCATTAACATGATATTACTTAATTTGAATACCTTCTGTCTTTTTCTTTGCTTTAATTTGAAATTTTTTATGGAGTTAGCCTGCTGTTTTTGTGAGTCTTTAAAAACAACCTAAAGGAAGCCTGACTTTAGACAGTTTTGTGATAAGTTTCAAATGCCAATCAAGAAGTCTATCATCCTGTGTGATAAGTTTCAAATGCTAATCAAGGAGTCTATCATCCTGTTGCTCACCACTCTCCCCTTTGGGCTCCCAGCTCCAGCTGTGTATCTTTTCATTCCTTAACCAAGTCCTGTTTGATGCCTTCATCCATGCTGTTCCCTTTGGCCTAAAATGCTTTTCCCTCAGGGCTTCACTCTGGCTAGCTCCTCACTTTTGCCTCATCTTAAATTTCACTTCTTCAGCTAGACTTTGCCTGTCCTATGCAAAGTAAGCTCTATGAATCTATGAATAATTACCTTGTAAATCAGTGATTTTTAAAAACAAAAATCTGGATAGAAAATGACCTGGAGGGAGATGTTATTCTTGGGAAGAATATGTTAGTGTTTTTTGTGTTTTGTTTGTGCAAGCTCTGATTCTTTTAAAGTAGACATGATTTGCCTTTGAGTAATAAAAAAAAAAAGGAAAAAGAAAACTTCCCAGATAAGTAAGCAGATGAGTTAAAGAACCTTTTTCTTAGGAAAAAGTGATATTGTGGAGCTTGTTTTCTTATCACCATTATTTTCAAGATGAAAGTTTATTTAGCATGATTGGGTGGAAGGAGATTGCACATAAAAGTGTGCACACCCTTTTCAGCCTCCCTTTCTTCCCTCCTTGCATGATAGAAGCATATATGAAGACAACGGGCTGAAGAGAGGAAGAATATCTTTGCTGGGAGGATGTTATGATTGTGTGATTTTGTAACTGCTTTTCTGTGGCTTTTTGCCTTAAAAGTTGGAGTGATCAAACACAGAGGTATAGATACTACTGAGAATTTTCTGATTTAACTCTTCCCCTATTTAAAGCAGTAACAAAGTTGATATTTTATATGAAGACTTTAATTAAATTTTTTTCTTTGAAAGTGTATGAACACAGGAGTGCTAAGATTCTTGGGCAGGAAACCAGGCATTGGTGTTCAGTGTTCTTTTTATTGGTATAGTTCTTATTCATTCATAGAAAATATTTAATCATTGTTGAGGAAATTGACTTTGATTTGTTTGCAAAATAATTTATAATGACAGTTAAGTTTATCTCTTTAATAAGCACTTTAAAAGGAAATTTTGAACTTCATTGAGTTTTGTAGCTTTTTAGTAAGTGACAGGAGTGCACAGTAATTTGCATAATTATAGCTTAAAATTTTTAAAAATTTTTTATTAAGGTAGTATTGATATACACTCTTATGAAGGATTCACATGAAAAAACAATGTGGTTACCACATTTACCCATATTATCAAGTACCCAACCATATCCATACCACAGTGCAGTCGCTGTCCATCAGTGTAGTAAGATGCCACAGATTCACTATTTGCCTTCTCTGTGCTACACTGTTTTCCCCGTGATCCCCCACACCATGTGTACTAAACATACTATAATTCCCTTCTCCCTCCCTCCCCACCGCCCTCCCTCACCCCTCCCCTTTGGTAACCACTAGTCCCTTCTTGGAGTCTCTGAGTCTGCTCCTATTTTGTTACTACAGTTTTGCTTCATTGTTATACTCCACAAATGAGGGAAATCATTTGGCACTTGTCTTTCTCCACCTGGCTTATTTCATGGAGCATAATATCCTCCAGCTCCATCCATGTTGTTGCAAATGGTAGGATTTGCTTCTTTCTTATGGATGAATAGTATTCCATTGTGTATATGTACCACCTTTTCTTTATCCATTCATCTACTGATGGACACTTAGGTTGCTTCCATATCTTGGCTATTGTAAATAGTGCTGAAATAAACATAGGGGTGCATGTGTCTTTTTGAGTCTGAGAAGTTGTATTTGGGTAAATTCCAAGGAGTGGGATTCCTGGGTCAAATGGTATTTCTATTTTTAGTTTTTTGAGGAACCTCCATATTGCTTTCCACAATGGTTGAACTAGCTTACATTCCCACCAGCAGTGTAGGAGGGTTCCCCTTTTTCCGCATCCTCACCAGCATTTGTTGTTCTTAGTCTGTTCGATGCTGGCCATCCTTACTGATGTGAGGTGATATATCATTGTGGTTTTAATTTGCATTTCCCTGATGATTAGAGATGTGGAGTATCTTTTCATGTGCCTGTTGGCCATCTGAATTTCTTATTTGGAGAATTGTCTTTTCATATCCTCTGCCCATTTTTTAATCGGGTTATTTGCTTTTTGGGTGTTCAGGCGTGTGAGTTCTTCATATATTTTGGATGTTAACCCCTTGTTGGGTATGTCATTTACAAATATATTCTCCAATACTGTAGGATGCCTTTTTGTTCTGTTGATGGTGTCCTTTGCTGTTCGGAAACTTTTTAGTTTGATGTAGTCCCATGAGTTCATTTTTGCTTTTGTTTCCCTTGCTCGAGGAGGTGTGTTCAGGAAGAAGTTACTCATGCTTATATTCAGGAGATTTTTGCCTTTTGTCTTCTAAGAGTTTTATGGTTTCATGACTTACATTCAGGTCTTTGATCCATTTTGAGTTTACTTTTGTGTATGGGGTTAAACAGTAATCCAGTTTCATTCTCTTACATGTAGCTGTCCAGTTTTGCCAACACCAGTTGTTGAAGAGGCTGTCATTTCCCCATTGTATGTCCATGGCTCCTTTATTGTATATTAATTGACCATATATGGTTGGGTTTATATCAGGGCTCTCTAGTCTGTTCCATTGGTCTGTGGGTCTGTTCTTGTGCCAGTACCAAATTATCTTGA